GGTTGGGGGGGGAGTGAACCCTGCGCAATTTTTTTTTCTTGGGGTCCCTCCTAACATTCCTACCAGACCTAAAGGGTCTGCTATGGTTTTGAGAGGGGACCCCACACTGTTTTGTTGTTTTTTTTTCTTTCTTTTACTTTATTTTTGTAACATTATGTTTTAAATTAGTTTAAATTTTTTACAAATATTTCTTTTTTTTCCGTTTACTTTTTTTATTCTGCTTGCTTCTTTGGAGGTAGCGAGCAAAATAACCGAGCCAAATTAGAATAGGAGCGAACTGCCGCAGGTTCGCTCATCCCATCTAGATGTTGGATCGGCTGAGTGAAACGGCTTCTTCATTTCGGCTGACCTAAGCCAGCCTATGTATGGCTGATTTTAGCCGATGCACGGCTCAAATCAGCCATACAGGGCCAAATTGAATAGCCGAACAGTGTTCGGCTCACTTCACTTCGGCTCGGTTACTTAGTCGGCTGCCTTCGGCAGCTTAGTAAATAACCCACTTAGTTCTTGTTTGCAAGCTCACAGACTCCTTTCAATATACTTACTGACATTATTTAACTACCTGCATCTGACCTAACCATCCCGACTATGCATCTGTAGTGCTGCAAAATTGTACTATCATATCTGTAAGTATGCTCAAACGTTAAAGCTGTTCTCCAAGGCATTAGAAGTTGTTCTCCTTGTTAATGGAAGGCTCGAAGTCTGCCAAGTCATTACTGGAAGGGGGGAATAGGGTGAGCTGAGATGTCTTAATTGAAGACTTCAGTACTTCTACTGTGAACTTTGAGAATAACTACTCTATAGAGCAGACAGCTACATAGGTCAGTGCAAGCTTTTTAAAGCTCATTTACTGCTCGTCAAGAATATGCAAGCACTTAAAAGGAGAACTATGGGGTTAAGGCTTTTCCCCATAGTTCTCCTTAGGGTAACGGGAGGACGCAAACTAGCGTCCTCCCATCACTCTAGGCTCAGTATACGCGCGGTATACTGAGACGCCGCAGTATACCGTGTGCTGCTGCTTGCGGTATACTAAGATGCCGCAGCTGAAGCGGATCTCGACAATTATGTCTGGATCCGCCCAGCTACGTGACTGACAGCGCTGGCGGATCAGAGCGGGGAGGGGGGAATCCAGCCCCTCCCCTGTCACGGCAGAGAGCCGTGACAGGATCGAGAGGTGAGCAAACGCCGGTATGTGTTTGCTCACCTCCCGATCTACTGAGCCGACCTGTGACAGTTTCATTGTCACAGGTCGGCTAGAACTATGAGGTGAGTGAAAAGCACTCACCTCATAGTTCTCCTTTAATGGAAGGAGTGGAAAAGACCAGAGATTGGATGATTCACAATATTCTTCAAGGGAGGTAGGCATGGATATAGAATAGTTCTCATTTAAATGTCCGTAGCCTGGCTGTAGGCTCCATTTAAAATTCACTTTTTGCTATTTTTAGTTGTAATGGCATGTTTAAGCGATGTTGCTCTGATAATAAAAAATATACTGCATGTGAAGATCTCTCACTATATTTTATTTTTGCTATTGCCATTCTACTTCGGGTGAAGGAATGGACAGCTTAGCACATGCAAAGTTGCTGGAGAAAATGATTTTGGCATAACAGCAACCATAAACTCTGCCTCCTTTTCCTAGTTTAGGCTTGCATACTATAGTAGTTTGAACAACTGAACAGTTACTGAAGATAAAAAAAAAACAGGACATTAACACTATATTTACTTAGAAGCTTGGGTCACGAAAACCTGTAATTGGTGATCATGGGCCTTCAATCTAATTCAGCAGTGTAGAGATAGTGAATAGAAGGTCTGTGTGGCCATTTTGGTAAGACTTACTAAAATATATCAGCAGTCACGCAAATGTTCTCATAATACCACACGTCAACAATTAAACAAAGCCATAACAATCCTTTAAGAATAGAGAGAGGCACATTACTTGGAAAAACCAAACTAAGGAAAAGTATTAGCGTTGAATACAGAAAGCATATTATAGCCATCATATGTTTACCAAGTCATTATTATAATTTATTTATTTTCAAGGTAAAAGGTATTAAAGTATACGTAAAGCCAATATCTAAAAACTCATATAAGCTTTAACATATTTATGTCATTTTAAAAGTAAAAATTTAAATATCTACAGCTTTCATTATAATAATACCTGGTAACCTGGAAGGCCCCTGTTCGGGTACTTTGTTTTAAAGAGCGATACCCGTACCTGTCTCCCAATTGTGCTCTTGCGTTGTCACCCTGTCACAAGGACTTTCTAAGGTGACTACAAGTGGCCATTTCAACACTCTCCCTGAGAAACAGCATGAAGCCATTTCTGGAGTGCATGCATGTAGACAAGGATTGCTTGTAAAGAGATATTATAGTGGAATGTATTTTTACCGGTTTTACTGAGAGTTCGGGTTTATTTTTCTGTTGTCATGTGTACAAATATGAATAAACATAATGGCGATTATATTTAACAGGTGAGCAGCCTACTTTGTGTTGTTTCTGATCTTCTTCGATAAAAAAATTCTACTAAGGGAGCTGGCTTGCACCCTTTCCAGTAGTATAAAACAATAATTTTTTAGCTGCTTAGGCTAGCCATATACTTAATTCCCCCATCCATGCTAAAAAGCGTATATAGAGGCATCGCTCCTTCTTCCAGCTATTGTAGTTAGACGGCCAGCGCCCATAGCTGTCTGAAAACCGGAATAGTGACTTCAATTGATCAGATACACCCGCTATTCAATCAACACTTTGTTTGGGCTGCTTCAAATTTTTAATCGAATTGGATGGGGCAATCAAGCCGGGTGTTTACCAAAATCTTCTAATGCAAGCAGTGTATGGCTAGTCTATACATGGGTATAATTAAAAAATATATCTTAACTTTTTTAGAATTCCAGATTTTTTTTTGGAAGGGTGTGGAAGGGTTAGAATTCTCTATAGGTTTAACTCAATGGACATATGTCTTTTTTCAACCTGACTAATTATGTAACTATGTCCAGTGATCAGTGAATCCTATTGCCCAACGCCTGGGACATACAGTTCTGTGCGCCGGGCAGGTATTTTATTCTGCGGTCAAGCAGGGCTCAATGTATAGCAGGGGAGCTGCCACTCATTTTGTACAAGTGATCTAGGTAGCTATACAGCCTCCCGGATCACTTGTAGCAACCTGCTTGTATCCCCCCACCCCATCATGATTTTTGGGGTGCCCTGCTCTTTTGTCGGACCCGGGACCATGACAAATGACTTCAGGATGGAGAGCGGGGAGCAGACCGGAGAACATCTGTTCTCCGATCTGCTCGTTGTGATCAGTGAGATAGGAGCGTTGTACTCACAGCACTTCACGTCTCAGCTGTCACAAGCCCGGCTGCGCACGAGATCAAGAAAAATTTGCTTGATCTTCTGGATTGGAGGGCATGCAAGAGATCTAATTTAATAGATCTAATAGACCCCAGATGTCTCCATAAAGAGAACCTGTCACCTCCAAATGCCATCACATAGGGGCTTGTGATAGGTGATAAAAAAATAAGCAAAAGTAAAAAAAAAAAAAAGTTGCAACCAACCCCGCCTTCCCTGCCATCTGCATGCGAATAAACACATACATAGGGCATGCACATGTACGTAAACAACGATTGTGCCACACATTAGGTATCATTGCGAATGTCATAGTGAGAGCAATCATTCTAGGGCTGTCTTAAGGACCTGTGAGGACAGGGCAAATGCAAGATGTTTTTGACATCAGTTTCAGAGGCTTTTGAGATCATTCAGAATTAAATTGCCCTGTATTTGATCTGATCTCTTCCAGCTGCTTTTGCATTCTCAAAGACTTGTATGGGGAGAAAAGCAGTTCTAAAACAAAACAAAAAGTCCATCAGCACTGGTCATACGCAGGGATGCACTGATACCAGGCATTTTCACTCATAGCCGTAAAAATACCCAGATACTAAGCGCCCAAAGCAGTGCTTTAAATTTTTTTACTGAAATCGGCTTCCCCAGGTCCCATGCTTGCTGGGGACCTTGGCAGCCTTCTGGGGACCTTGCGGTGCCTGTTTCCAGTGCAGGCCACACATCTCTTCCTCCTTCCTAGGAAAAACCCACCAACAAGACCATCCGTACTCCAGGTGAGACCCCGCACAGCTCTCCCTAGAGCCCCACACAGCCCACCCGAGAGCCGCACACAGCTGTGACTGGGCCCTGGCGCTCCATCACTGTCCAAAAATCATTATTAAAGCGCTGTGCAAACTGTTGGCACTATATAAATCCTGTAGAATAATAATAATAATTCTGTATTGTTTTAGAAAAACTCGACACAAAAAAAAATAAAAAAATATTGGTAATTGGTATCGGCGAGTACTTAAGGAAAAGTATTGGTACTCGTACTCAGTCTGGAAAAAATGGTTTTGGTGCATCTCTAGTCATAAGGAAATGGTTCGCTGGTTTGGGTGAGTATTCCTCTGACTTCCTGTTGTCTACACTCTACAGGACAGGAAATCTTCCCCAATTTTGCAGAGATTTCCTCTAACTTCTGTCTCTAGAACGGAAAATAAAGGGAAAAAAACTCTCCAATGGAACACAGACTGCAACATAAAAAAATCTGAAAATGGTTTTAACCATGATCTACTTATAAAAAAAAAACACTATAGATATACTTTCAAGCCCAACTCCAGGATACTGTTAACATTACCTCCGCCACATCCCTCTCCCTAACTGATGGAGTCAAGTGATCCTCCCATACTAAGTCTTCTCTCTTCCTATATTTACATCTGGTGGGGTCCTTCTTCGGGAGTCCACATCACTGCCTGTGTGAGGTGGACACTCTCCTGGCTGATTAGCAGTGGGGGCTCTATCAGCATCCAGAAGAGAAGCAAAATCAGCATGAGGGGGCAGTAGGGGACTGAAGGTCTTAGTCGGATCTGTAATAGCGACCCCTGCACCTGGAAACGGTATTGGTGAAAGAGCAGGGCAGGGGACTTAGGTGAGTATATCTTGCTTCTGTAGGTTGCAGGATGGATTATAGAAGAGTGTGAGGTTGAGGGGTCATATTTTACCTGGAATGGGGCTCCAAGTATTATTACATATGGAATATACAAACATAATACCTATAGCACTCCAAAGATTTTTTTTAATGCTAAACATTATCTGTTACTTAGTCAACATTAGAACTTATTGCCTATTGGTAACGTCAATTTACTATTTCATATACACTTTTCTTTAGCAAATCACTTTGGTATGGAATCATAATAATGTATAATTAGGAACATATGTAAAAATCAGTCAGCTTTACTTTTGAGGCTTTGCATTCTCATTCCAGATCCATGTCATTTACATGTGATTTAAAAAGAAAACTGTAAACAGGGATTTTAGAATACTATAATTATATTAGAAACCAAATCAGGCATAATGTTTTCTTGACTTACAGATGAATCTTCAGAGCAGGAAGCAATTACGTAGTCATCAAAAGGGTTCCACTTGATGTCCAGCACATTACCTTTGTGACCACAAACTTTGGGATAATGAGGATCAAGTTTTCCTGACTGCAATTCAAAATATTATTCAGCATTAGCTCATGTCACATTTTGCATATTACTTATCTAGAGACTATACAGTACCCTATGTACACCTTGGTTTAAAGTGTAACTCCAGCAAAAACATTTTTTTCTAGTTTTGAATGTAGTGTGGAAGGTTTAGAGCAGGAGTGTCAAACTCAATTTAATTGTGGGCCGCATCAACATTATGGTTGCCCTTAAAAGGTATCTGTAAGACTATATAAATGTATCTAATCTTTATCATAATTGTCTAAACATTCGATTATCACTGGTTTTAGTAATAACTTAATACCTAGATCTGAAAGTAGAAGTCTAGGAAATGGCCTGGGGGACCGGATTCGGCCCCTGGACCTTGACTCATGTGGTTTAGAGTAGAGGTTGACATTCAGCCCATGTCAGAGTTTTATTGCCTTAACTGTACCTCCACCTAAGTGTTCGGAAGCCAGCAGCAAAACGCCAAAACGCAGAAAAAAAATACGTGAGCTCCCTTTGGCAGTTAACAGCTTGCTTTTCCCCATGGATTTCTATGGAAACACCAGCAAACATGTGACACAAGTGTTTTGCACATTTCTGTGCATGTTTGTCCATTGACCGCAATGTTCCAATCTGCTGAAATGCAAAAAGTGCTAGACGAAAATGGCGCGCTAATATGAGCAAAAACTATGATGCCTAGGTGTGAACAGGGCCTTATTTTAAACATTTTCACCAGAGCCTTAGACAGGTTTCTACCCTTCACTACTATGTCAAAAACGGAAAAAAAAGAAACCAAAACAATGCATTTCCCAAACCATTCCTCAAGTCCCACCAACAGCTTATGTATTGTGGATATTCACAGAGATAACCAAATAGCATCACCGAGGCACCAATGAGTGTACCTGTAACTATGTGTACCTCCCAGAAAAATATGCATTGTTGGAAAAACAACATCTCCAGGCAAAACTTTTTTTTTAGGTTAGATCTTTTGTCAAGTTTTTATGGTAGTTTGTGTTCCCATTGGGGAGATTCACCCCTCTATTTGTACTGGTGACCATTGTCACTAAGAAAAAGTGAGGGGACATGCAAAAATTTTAGTTGTCTCCAGAACAAGAGGTGAGGGGAAATCTTCCAGTGCGAACACGTCACTGGAACAGTCTAAGAGAGAAATTATCATCACTTTGAGAGATTTCCTCTAGTTTCCTGTTGCGTCTCACAGCAGTAGTGAAGGGAAATTCTCCTGATGGTACACAGACAGCCAAAAAACCTGGCAGGGATTTTAACTAGGGATGCACCGATACTAGTATCGATATCGGTCCCGATACCGAGTATTTGGGCGAGTACTCGTACTCGCCCAGAATGCTCCGATGCCTAGAACGAGTACTTCCTGTATCAGGAAACTGGGCAGCGGTTTCCCGATTGGCCGGGAAGCGCCTCCATGCTCTCTCGTCACTTTACACGCTGCCCAGCTAATCAGGAAGCCAGGTGGCGAGTCATTACACGCCACCTGGCTTCCTGAATGGGACTTCCATTACTCGGTAATTGGTATCGGCGAGTACTGAAAAAAATTATCGGTACTCGGTACTATCGATACCAAAATACCGGTATTGGTGCATCCCTAATTTTCACCTATCCCTACTGTATTCAAAACTAAAATAAATTGTCAATACGTTTGCTTTTATGATCTCTACAATAAAGCCTTCCTGCTTATAAGAACATGTACGGAGCTTACAGATTTGAAAAATGATATCAAGGGCACATCATGTCAACACCATCATGTTATGCCTGCAGTGATGTTGATGTGCATTCATGACTAATGAAATCAGAGGTTTTCTCTTGCATAACAGAGCATGCACAGATCTAACATGTTTTGAAAGAAAAACAAGGCTATATCAGCATTTTTTTCATTCTTTTTTTAATGTTAGCTAGTTTCTAAAATGAAACAACATTTTTATCCATTTAACAGCCAATATCAAAGAATCTTTTCTACTTATATTGCAGATTTATACAATTATTCCTAAGAGATACTGGTTTTCATGTTAATACACACAGTAACTGGGTCTGTCTTTGTTTGGCAAAGTGACTCGGTGTACAAGGAGGAAAGTGGCAAAAACAGAATATCTTAGGCCGCTTTCACATGGGCTGACCATGCAGGGATCCTCTCCCGAACAGAGCAGTACAAAGCGGATGTCACGGCTGTGACATCCGTGTCCGTGCCGTTTTTCCCCTCTATCTTGTGATGGAGGAGAAAACTGCAATTACCGGACTCCATGTGTGTTTATGTGACATCGGATGTAAACGGACTTGTGCCTGTTTACATCAGATTACCCTTGATCCGGCACGATCTGGCAAAATAGATCTTTGATCCCTCTGTTTTTCCGGACCGGGGACGGGGGTAAACAGACACCCGTCTGTTTACATACAGCTGCCCTTAGACTTGCATTGGGCATCTGATCGGGTCTGCCTGAAAAACTGACAGGTGGACCCGTTCGGAGCTGCCGTGTGAAAGGGGTCTAAATCCAGATTTATTTTTATTCAGACACTTATATCATAAAAAAGCCAACATGTTTTGGGGGTTCCAAGGGCCCCCTTTACTTGAAGGCTTTAGCAACACAGACAGCAGAAATGTTCTATGCTTTCCTCAAATTGCACGCTTGAGCCAAGAGCCAACCTTCGGACACAACTGAGAGACTTGCCAAAGAATAACCATTCCTTTCTCACTGCTTAATACCTGGCTAAAAACACCTACCGCTTTAGAAGATCTAGCATTCCACAATTTTACACCACTAGCTTTGCAAAGTGACAATGCCTCTATAATCCTTTCGCTGCCATGGACGTCAGGGTTACGATGGAACAGAAGTGCTTGCAACTAACCAGTTACTTTCTCTGACACTTTTTATT